GAGTCGACAAGGATGCTAACAACAGAGTTAGTGGAGCCTTAGTGAGAGGCGGTGTTTAACTCTTTCAGAAAGGATTTCGTTACTCTTCTCTTCAAATTTTTTCATGTTTTTGAAACGCAGAGGGAGGGAGAGAGAGAGGGAGAGAAAGAAAGAGAGAGAGAGAGAGAGAGAGAGGCATGAAGAGAGATCTTCCATCCACAGGTTGATTACAGTGTTTGCAACAGCTGAGGCTGGGACCAGGCGAAAGCCAGGAGCCAGGGACTCCATCCGGGTCTCTCACAGGGACCTAGGCACTTGGGCCATCACCATTGCCTTCTCAAGTACACTGCTAGCAGGAAGCTGGATCAGAAGTACCGTAGCTGGGACCTGGACAAGCACTCTGATGTGAGTCGCTGGCATCACAAGTCTTGGCTCAACCTGCTAAGCCACAATGTTTAGTCCCTCCTTTACTTTTTTAAAGCTGAAGTGAGAGCCATAATTCAGGAGTTCCTTGGAGGAACACAGTGGCAAAAGACAAGGATCTGTAGTTCTAAAGTTTAATTAAATGTTTCTGGTTCTGGTTAACATGGAGTAAACACATTTCATTCCATCTTTCCCACTAACCACAATTAAATACTCTGGATGGAATGAATGGATGGAAGAATGACCAGACAATGTTGAGTTCTGTTTTTATTTTTATTTTTTGCTTCCCACATCTCTTGGCTTGGAAATCCCTATGTCTTAGAAGTGGAAATGGGAATGGACAGAAACAAATTCAAGAAAAACTTCTCTAGTCAGAGGCCTGGGAGAAAGACTCCCTGAGGGCTGGATCTCCTTATAGTCTTGTGGCCCCTAAGCAGGAACAATGCCACCAACTACAGTGGAGGCAGCAGAAGCAGTGTCAGGAGCAGCAGCAGCTTCAAGAGAATTAGGAAGCTTTACTGCCCAGGCCCCAGCAGACCAACTGTGGGGAGTCTATTAGAGAGCTGCGGGCTACAGAGTGCAAGGGTTTACGCAGAGGCCTAAGTCAGCCAGGATAAGGTCTGTGCCGTGAAGATGTCCAGCAGTCAGTTCCCCTTACAATGTGACTTTTCAATAAACTCTAACTGGGACCAAGGAAACATCTGTTGTACATTTAGAGGGAATAGAAGCTTTATATCTTGGGGGAAAGTGATTAATGACTCCATTGTCTGAATAATTAACAATCTTATCGTTTGCCTCTCCCTGAATACAGATAACATTGGAGTATGGGAATGTTGGGTACTCTGTTTAATTGATAATCAAGTCTGTTGACTATTATCAGGCACTCTTGGATTTTAATATGATTGATAACCACACAAAAATCTGTTTTGCTTAAGCCTGATTCAACGTGCCCTGTAAGAAAAATATAAAACCTGGCCGGCGCCGCGGCTCACTAGGCTAACCTCTGCCTTGCGGCGCTGGCACACCGGGTTCTAGTCCCGGTGGGGGCGCCGGATTCTGTCCCGGTTGTCCCTCTTCCAGTCCAGCTCTCTGCTGTGGCCCGGGAGTGCAGTGGAGGATGGCCCAAGTGGTTGGGCCCTGCACCCCACGGGAGACCAGGAGAAGCACCTGGCTCCTGCCATCGGATCAGCGCGGTGCGCCGGCCGCAGCGCACTGGCCACGGAGGCCATTGGAGGGTGAACCAACGGCAAAGGAAGCCCTTTCTCTCTGTCTCTCTCTCTCACTGTCCACTCTGCCTGTCAAAAAAAAAAAAAACAATGGTGGAAATTTTTGTGAAAAATATAAAACCTATAACCAAACCCAGACTCATGGAACAGCCAACTCAGGTAATTGACTGGTTGTTTCCAGAATTAAATCCTCAGTTTACTTGCTAAATAAACTCTGATATTGAGAGGCTGAAGTTGTGGTGCAACAAGTTAAGCTGCTGCTTGGGACACTGGAATCCCACATGGAGAGTTCCTGGGATGTGTCCTGCCTCTGCTCTAATCTAGCACAGGATGGCCCAAGTACTTGAGTCCCTGCCACCAATGTAGGAGACCCAGATGGAGTTCCTGACTCCTAGCTGCAGCCTGACCCAGCCCTGTTTTTGTGGCTATTTGGGGAGTGAACCAGCAGATGGATGATCTCTTTCTCTCTCACTCTTCCTTTCAAAAAATATTTTAAAAACACAAAAAAATTTTAATATTTAAAAAACACACAAAAATTCCAACATTGATTTTTTTTTTTTTTTTGACAGGCAGAGTGGACAGTGAGAGAGAGAGAGACAGAGAGAAAGGTCTTCCTTTGCCATTGGTTCACCCTCCAATGGCCTCCGTGGCCAGTGCACTGCGGCCGGCGCACCGCGCTGATCCGATGGCAGGAGCCAGGTGCTTCTCCTGGTCTCCCGTGGGGTGCAGGGCCCAAGCGCTTGGGCCGTCCTCCACTGCACTCCTGGGCCACAGCAGAGAGCTGGCCTGGAAGAGGGGCAACCGGGACAGAATCAGGTGCCCCGACCGGGACTAGAACCCGGTGTGCCGGTGCCGCAAGGCAGAGGATTAGCCTATTGAGCCATGGCGCCGGCTCCGAACATTGATTTTCTAATCAGACTCTGATTATATTGGTCAAGAGTGTGAAGCGGCTCCAGCTTAGTTTTGTAGCCAGGGTCTGAGGAAAGAAATCCTTGGGAGCTGGGGGAAATGGGGAGGATCATAGAGGAGAGGGAGCTGAGAATGAAGTCTCAGGTTCATCTCCGAGGTGACTGTGTGTAGAAGAGACCACTATCAGCAGAACCCGTATCAGGGCCCAGATCTCTTCTTGGGAAGCACAGTGCAGGAGGGACAACAGTAGAGCAAAGGCTTTGAAAACTAAAGTAACATTAGAATCACAACCTTTGGAAAGTAGTTCAAGACCTGGATTTGAACCTAACTATATCTCTATCATAATTTTTAAAAAGTCGACATTCCCCTGAAGTCTTTAACAGAACCAGTGTCACATAACATAATATTCAAAAGGCCCAGGATATAATCCAAAATTAGTTGACATTCAAAGGACCAGAAAACTAAACAACTCTCAAAGGGAAAAAGCAATTAACAGATGCCAACTCCAAGCTGAGTCACAAGTGGGAATTATAGACAGGACCATGAAGCAGCTATTATAATCATGCTCCAACAAAGTAAACGTGAAAACTTGAATGCATGACAAGGTAAAGGTCTTTGCAAAGAAATTAAAGTTAAAAAAGAAAATAAGCACATGGAAAATTTGGAACTGAATTATATGAAAACAAAAATAAAAATTTTACTGGAAAGGCTCAATGGAGATGACAGAAGAGAAGCAGTGGTCTTTGAAGACAGACCAATAGAAATGATGCAATTTAAACAATACAAAGAAGAAAATGAGAAAATCCCAACAGGCCTGACACTCATGCCACTACAATCCCAAAGAGAGGAGAAGGATTGGGGAAAAAACAATATATTTGAGGAAATAATGCCTGAAAACTTCTCATATTTAGTAAAGGAAATAAATATACAGATCTATGAATCTCAGCAAATCCAAACATGTTACACACTAAATGAAAATCATACTTATACATTTTATAAGCAAACCACTAAAAACCAAAGATAATACCCTGAAAGCAAGCAGAGAAAAGTTACACGTTACAAATGGGGGAGTAATTTAAATGACTTCAGATTTTGCATCTGAAGCCATGGAGTTCAGAAGACAATGGAACTATATATTTAATATATAAATTTTTGAAAATATAAATTATATAACATATATGATATATAAATATTACATAAATTTTTATTTTTAAAATTTTATTTTAAAGGCAGAGAAAGAGAGACACAGAGAGATATCTTCTACCTGCTGGTTGACTCCCCAAAGGTTCACAATAGCCAGGGCTAGGCCAGGCCAAATCCAGGATAATGGAACCCCATCTAGGTCTCCCACTTGGGTTGCAGAGACCAAAGTACCTGGGCCATTACTTGCTGCCTCCCAGGGTATGCATTAGCAAGAAGCTGGATAGGAAGCAGAAGACCAAGGACTTGAACCAGATACTCTGATACATGATTCAGGCTTCCCAAGTGGCTGCTGCAACAAATGCCAGCTCCAGAACAATATTTTAACTTTAATTTTATTTTTTAAAGATTGATTTATTTATTTGAAAGGCAGTTACAGAGAGAGAAAGACAGAGAGAGGGAGAGAGAGAGATATCTTCCTTCTGCTGGTTTACTCCCCAGATGGCCTCAGTGGCCAGGACGGGACCAGGCCAGGAGCCAGGAGCTTCATCTGGGTTGACCATGTGGGCACAGACACCCAAACACCTGGGCTATCCTTGGCTGCTTTCCCAGGTGCATTTGCAGCGAGCGGGATCAGAAGTAGAGCAGCCAGGACTTGAACTGGAGCCCATATGGGATTCCTGCATCCCATTAAGGTGGCTTAATCCATTGTGCTAAAATGCTTGCCCCTAGGACAATATTTTAAAGCACTGAAAAAAAGAGAACTGACCATCTAGAATTCTGCAACTAGCAAACACATCCTTTAGAAATAAGGTTGCAATAAAGACATTCTCAGATGAAGGAAAACTAAGAAATTCTTCATTACTAGATCTACTTTAAAAGAAATGCTAAAACAAGTTCTTCAGATTAAATAATGAAGCTTATAACAGAGGAAAATCAAGAACTTCATGAGTGGAGACAGTAACAGAAATGTAAGTACATGAGTAAATATAAGATTATTATTATTCTCTTGAATTCCTTAAAATAGGCCTGCTGGAAGCAAAAATTATGACATTATTCGAGGGGTTTTCAAAGTAGGTAAATGTAACTCTATATAAAAAATCATATATATCTATGATATATTTATGATATCTATGATATATGATATATATAGGAGACATACATATCAAAACAATATACTTAGAAACATGTATCCAATTAAAAAGAAATTTCAGTTTTAAAGTAGATATGCTTGCATCCTCAGCTCTAATTACAAAAAGCAGAGGAAATACACCTGTGTCTAACAGCTCATCTTCCCCAATTTGAGTCAAAAATCAGAATTACCTGTAAAGTTCTGGGCTTTGAGATGCAGGTCGTAGAGTTTGTGGATGTAGCGTATATACATCTCCTCCTTGTTCAGTTCAGTCTTATAGAAGTTCTGTAACACAAGAGCACACCTGTGGATGATTCCTCAAAAGTCACACCATAGAGGCTTTCTTTTAGTTTGCTGAAATTTCAAGAGAACTGATGTATTTCCCCAAGTAAACATTGTTTGAAAATGAAGTAAGGAGGCCTAGCAACATATTCAATTCAGCACAGCATGTAGGAAACATTACCTTACTGGAGAAATTGGTAACTCTTGGGTTACTGATTACCACTGATACATATTTCCCTTGTTATTTTCTATTATTTTCTGTTAATTTAATAGACAATCAGCTTATTCAACTAAGTAGTACTAAAACTAGGTAACAGACCAACCTGTTCATTCAATTTGTTGACTGATAGTTTTATTTTAAATTTCTAACTTATTTCGCTCTACAGGTAAAGGTCTCTAATATATATAGGTAGGATAAATAAAAGCAAAATAAAATCATTTTCCCCCTTGTAGAAATAGGTAAAGAGGATAAGTAAATAAAGATGCTCTTTATTGTTATTCTGCATTAATATTTGTGTTAGAGTCTAAATGTTTCCAGTTATGTTCAAAACACAAAGGGACAAGAGATTTTCATTTCCAGTTATTATCCTAGGACCATGCTTACTAAAAATATTTGTCTACTTGTAAAAAAGTATCTGGACTTCACTAAACTTTAAAATGTTTTAACATTATCAAAAACTCAGTGTTGACTGACTGGGATATACTATGTTGGCATTTCAAGGGCTTATTGATAAGCACCCACACACGTTCCTTAGCACACTGAGAAGCCTAACAGTTCTCACTGACCTTGGTGAACACAGGAGTAAACGTATATGAAGTTAGATTCCAGGACAAACATGATGTTGTGAGTTTCCAAATGAGGCCCTTCTAGGAGCAGATCACTGTATACTATGAAATTCCTGCTTAACCCATTTGAAGTACTATTATTTACTGCTATTGTTTCGACTGATGGTACAGGGTATGTGGAAGAAGCAAATGTGAGTAGTGACAGGGGCCAAAGGTGATTATTTGAAGGAATGACAAGCTTCTCTAAGGGGTAGAGACCAGGAATTTGATGAAGGAATGATTGTCTTTTCTAAGCCAGAAAGGGCAAGAATTCAAAACATTTTTGAAGCTGATTAGCTAGATGGTAGCAGATCAAACTAGTCAATGTGGCTGTTTAAAACTGTCCTTGAACTTGAAACCAGATAACCTCCTATCAAATGCACTTCAGTACCTATCTAATGGGTGTCCAGTCTTCAATTCGAGGATTCTTTCAATCTGGGTACACTGACATTAAATTGGATGCAGCATTAAAATTAAAATAAACATTTTTCTGCAAATTTATGCCATTCTTCTCCTCCTTTTCATTTTGTTTCTTTTCTTTTTTTTATGAGATTTAAAAAGTAAGATTTATTACAGTCAAAGACTCCAGTCAGAGCAGCATAGAGGGGGGTTTCCAAGAGAGGAAAAAACCCAAAGGACCCCATGGCACTGGGGTTTTAAGTACAATTTTGAGGAAGAAACTGTCAATCAATAAGGTGGGAACAAACCCAACAAAAGACCATATTTAAAATCCTTTTTCCTGTCTGACTTGCTCATGATAAAACAAAACCATCAAAAGGGTGGGATACCTAATTTGTTTTCACAATAAACTGGGAGCTCAGAAGGGTGGAGTCATCACTCCCTTGTTATTCGCATGATAAGACTGGAAGCTCCCAAGGAGAGGGCAGGCAGGCACTTCTGACCTTGCTAAAGATAACTTTTGAGGGGAACATTTTCCACCCTCAATTTCCAGACTGCCTATTTACCCATGACTCCTCACATTCCCTTCTCAACAAGAATGGGCCCTGACTTCTGTTAGGGGAACTGGGCAATGAATGATCAGTCTGGCTGCTTCATGCTGAAAAGGGGCACTGCTGGGAAGGGCAGTCAAGACAGGGTTCCAGCAGATGCAGCGCCAGCTTGCAGAAACTGCTTCCATCCAAGGTTTCATGTGCATGGCCACCTAGAATTTTACTTTTTCAAGTCTGTAGAAAATGAATCTAATAAACAGTTTAAAATGACAATATCTAAAACAAGGACAGTCATTGTTACAGGACCTAAGAAAAGTGCCATCTAAACCACCAGCAAGTTTTCTCATTGAAAGGCAAACAGAAACTGACCAAAGGGGCCTAATAATAATCAGGTAGGCTTTAAGGCCTTGCCAGTTATGAGCCCCAGACCTATCTCTTCACATGGAGTACCTCCTAAGGGAGGTGTGAACCTCCTTAGGGGAGGCACCCTGTTGACTTCCATTACCTAGCTGGCCTGGGAGGAGAGCTGGCTAGATGAAGGCAGGTGGCATCTCCAATAGGAAATTTACAGTTCTGTCTGCAATGTTACTGACCCTACTTGGCCATCTCCTCGACAGTAGTCATTACTTTGGAAGCTGGGCCGAGTGAACAAGGCCTGTGGCTCTGAGCAGGAGCCCTTTGACTCCAGGGCAGTTTCATTTCTGGTGACCCAACTCTTGGCTGGCATAGCTCTTCATGAGCTGACTTCTGCTGAAGCTCTGGTTTTCCATATAAACCAGTGCAGTGGTCTGGCCTGTTGTGTTTCCTTGATGGCAGATCACTGTGCAAAGCAGCCATTAATTGGCCTGCTACCTATCCTTACATTGCTTCTGTTGCCTAGCTTTCTCTTTCTCTTGGTTTTTGTTAATGATTTTGTTTCTTATCGATCGTGTCTTTCTTAAAAAAGCTAACCAAATAATGCTATTCATATCTCTCGTATTATAATTCAAATAATTTTAATTAGCAAGAACTGTTGTACCATACACACTTCTAATAACCCCACTGCGGGTTTTCATATTGCTAGAGGATGATTTGCTCTAACAGCTTTCTTGCAAAAAGCAGCTTTCTTTGAGAACAAAGTAAGTGATCACTCATAAATGAATAGTTCTCCTTAGAAAAACCTCTCCAGGTAGCAGAAGAGAATCTTTCACATATGTTTGGTAAAACTTGGGGCACAAAGAACAAAACAATAATTCTACTTCTAGTATTAGTCATGTCAAATAATACATAGTTTTACCAGTTCAACCCTGGATTTTAACTCTGCACATGTAAAGGATGCAAGAGCTCTCTTGAATACTCTCTTACTTGGTCCTACCACACAGTTGAGGTAAACCTCTGGGAGGACGTAAGGAGTTGAAGAGAACCACATTGCTGCTAAAAGCAGCAGGAATTTTCCATATGGAGCAGAAGCTAACACGATTAGCCCCAAAATGATATATCTGGTCCTTTAATAAGTATTCTTGAGCTAGCTAGGAATTAGAACAGCTTTCAAAATGTTAACACTTTCTGTAAGGATGATTGGTCAGTGCAAAGCTATCAGGATAAATTCTTTGTCTCAAGTGACCACTGCTGGGGGCCACTGATTTTATTAAGTCTTCAGCTTATTCTCACAAGGAGACTAGAAGTAAATACACTTAGCAAAGAGTATTAATTCTTCCACCAAAGGAAATTATCTTTTTTTATATCAATTGAGAGAGAAAGAGCATAGGGTCTGCATTTATTCCTTCACTTCCAATTGAAAGGCACTTGTGGAAGCAGATGGAGACAGTAGAAGAGGATTCCTTTGGAAAATGGTATATAGGGGCTTTGCTTTGGGGTTATCACTTTGTGCTTGGGGTAGAGCCAGGGTTAAGGTGAAAAACTGAGAAAACCAAAAGCCTATAGATCACCTGGCTTTCCTCCCCTCTTAGAATCAGTATACAAGAAAGGGCATGGAGAAACCTCAGGCTGAGGGCCTTGACCATGATGCAAGGCTGGTTTGCTGGCAAGAAACTGGGGAAGTGTAGATGAGAGATTTCACACAGAGACTGAGCAAGCTTGAGATTGGAAATGAGAATTAGAGGAGTGGGGGCTGACATAGTGAGTTTGAGGTCATGGCTTGGAGGTCACTGTTGGATCTGATAACAAGAATTACAGGAGGAAAGTAAATACCTGCTGAACAAGACGTAGTCTGTTAGAGGACCCTCAGGTCTTACTATTTTTAGGGACTGGTATTGGAGGTGGATATGTCACACATTAAGATTGAGGAGGAAAGGGTGGGTGTAGTAAAGATGGGTGTAGGCATACCCTCAGGGATGAGGATCAGTACAGCAAGAAATTAGGGAATCAAAAGGAGACTGTCACAAGAAAGAGGAAGACTGAGCTTTGAACAGGACTGGGAGAAGAATAAAGAAATAAAAAAGACAGAAACTGATGAGCTGAACCAAGACAGAGTCAAAGTGGTGGTAACACAAAACCTCAGGGTGTAGGCAAATACAGATCAATACAGCATGTATGGGATTCAAATCACCAGAGCAAGAATAAGAACAATGGTATCAGTAATTGGAACAAACACCGAGGCTTCATTGACTCGGCAAAATATACTATAACATTCACAGATTTAGAACTGAGAACAGTCACTCTTATTTCAAATCCGATAAAGGAAAATGGTCAAAAGGATTAATTTACTGTATTTTAAAACATGAAAAAGAAATGTCTAAATGTATTTTCATCCCTTTGCTCTGTGGTAAGAATACCATTCTAAGAGTTCGTCTGTGACATTCTGTATAAATTTTGGTTTGCCCAGGATAGTTCTGGGTTAGCTTGTTACCCTTCAAAAACTTTTAATTTTATTCTCAAAAATGTCCTGCTCAGATGACAAATTCTATGGCTATCCTAGTTATAATGTACACTTTAACAACAGGGCTATTATGAACTCAATTTCAAAAGAAGCTAGTGAATGAAAGTTAGCATGTTCAACAGAAAACTGTCATTTGTTCACACAAGAAGAGACCACTACTATTCATTAAAATGTAGAATGACTATAACTTTGGGGAGGAGGACAGAGAAGTAAAATGAACTTTCCATGGAGAGACTGAGCTTTCTCCTAGGAGACAACCAAAGACTTGAGGATTGAAAGCAATGGACCAGAAGATCCCAGGGTCACCTGGGGCTCCATAGGGGTCTGCGAGTGAAGCTGTCAGGAATGCAGCAGGTGCACCCTGCAGGGTTTGGAGCTGAGGGTTCTCTGGGCATTAAGTCAACCTGAAGTTCACCATGTTTCTTTTAAAAGAAATATCCAAAATAACAATAAAAAAGCCCATTAGAGGTCACAAACAAAACAGTATTTCTGTGGAAAACAATAAAAAGGATAAAAGGAAGAAAAAGGAGATAGGTTACTAACCAGAAGGCTAACTGTGCAGCCAATCTTTTTGCCATCTACCTCTCCCATTTTCATGCAGTCCCTAAAAATAAAAAACAATAGTTATAACTTCTTTTCAGTTTCTTCTTTTAGAAAACAAATATACACATATTTGCAAGTGCCTGTTCAGTTAGAGGCTCCAGGGACTGTTGGTCTCTGGGGAGGCTGGGCAGCCAGAGACTCCTGAGTTCCTGCTGAGAATTTCACTTGCGGATCAAGAATGCACAGGTTGCTCAGGAGGCAAGAGGAACAGAGGTGTACTATCATATGCCTCCTAAAGCAGGGTGGGAGATAGTGGGCTAGTCCGGCCATTCACAAGGAGCATGAGAGTTTAGTTTCCAAAATGAAACAAAATCATCATGCATTTAAGTGGGTCGAGCTGTTACAGCAGTTCAGATAATATAAACATCAGAGAATTATGTCTTTGAAGAGTGATAATGTTAGTTTCATTCCCCTTGCCCTGCCCCCTTTTAAAAGAACAGCTTGGTTATGCAATCATCTGTCTCATTGCCTTCACATTAAAATGAGTTAACCACAGGGTGTTTTCTAGTTGATGAGTCTAAATGTTTAAAAAAATTACTTAAAAAATTTTTTTGAGAACTCTCAGGAACTCTGAGAATCCTCTCAACTCAACAAGACTAGGAAAGAACTATCATAAACTGAACCAAAAGAAACAAAAAGAAACAAGTCCAAACTGTGAACAAGCTGGTTAAAAGTCTGTTATCTTAATGCACCAGGCTCTGTGGTCTAATTATCAATTTTCAAAGTGAGTACCTTTAAGTGGAATGTTGACTGTATGCTAACTATTTGATTTTCTAACTGGAGACTAGCCTATCTGGAAGATGTGGGACTTGGCTTACCTGTAATCCAACAACCTCTCCATTAGACGGGTAACAGTGGCAATTAATGAAACACCACTTTCCCTCCATGTTTCCCGCTCAATTTTCTTTAGTAGACTGGAAAAGAAAGAACCCAGGGCATTTTCAACATTTATTTTTATCAGTCACCATGACAACCACTTTACTTTCATCAGTACCTTTAAGGCCTTAGCAACCACTGCAACATCTCACAAGTAGCACAATTTGCAAACAACGTCTTACCTAGGATAGGGACCAAATAGTGGAATTCTAATCCAGGAAGCATTGACAAAGCAAATTGATTTTCAGATTATCCAAGTCATAAAACATAAACACATGCACATAATCATATTTTCAAAATAGACAAGCACCTCACATTTCAAAGACATTTTTCTCTAGCTTCTCTCTTAGACTGAGAGGCATATGCCTCACCACAAAAAATAGCACAGTGAACAGCAAAAACAGAAGAACCTCCAAGTTTGCTGTTAAGTAAGATCTGGCTTTATTCACATAAAAATGTTTTCCTACCTCTCAGTGGAATGCATCTTCATCCAAGCGATTTTACTGCAATGCAACGGCTACAGGAAAATCCTTGTACAGACGGTATGACGTTTTGCGTTTCTTCCTTGCGCTTAACATTTGCCCACTCAATACATATTGTACTATCTGTGCACTCACTCCACAGTTTCATTCATTTTGCCATTAATCACAGAGGATTTTCTATGTGGTTCTTTTGGCAGACTGATGACAAGTAGCGAACCACATCTTTCCTCCTACATTTCCCCTACTCCTAAGTACCTTGGAGCAGAGGTACCATTGTAAACACAAAATAATAACAATCCTCATAATCAGGACCTGTTTTACTTTCACTCCCGCCTCTTGGCAGATTCACAGTCTACATGGCAAAGGCTTTACAACTGGACTTTCCCCAAAAGATAAAAGTAAGGATGCAAGCACAGCTGTATGAGAATAGTTCCCTACCCCTCTGAATTTAATGATCTTCATTTTAGTCTGTCTCCCTTTCATCTCAGCTTCAGGAGTAAGATGGGGAGAAAACATTTCTTACAAGTACAGTCTAAGCATTATATATGTAATTAGTGGAAACATCAGCATTAAAGGAGATAAGCTGTTTTGTCAAAGCTTTCTTTTGTCTGGGGCTATGGCCTCTCCCAATTTTCCTCCTCACGCCCCAGCTTTTTCTTGCTGTTGACATTCCAGAGTCCACTCTTCTATCTTGTCCTCTCACTTGTTGCCTCTGCATCCCCAATCATTTGTTTCTTGGTTGATTCTAAACTCTCTCCTACAGTAAGGGTGAGTGGGTGGGGGTCACTACAAACAGAAGGGATGGAGCATGCCCTGATGAATTCCCCAGGGGCAGACTCCCTCGTTTGTTGCAATGGGTTGCCTTTTAAAAATCTCCCAAATAATACCTGTTTCAGTCTCAAATGAATGGCAAACTGGTATGGAACCAAGTCCTCAAACGAAATTCTGCCTGCAAAAGCAGTGCAGGATGAGGTAGAAATTTTCCCAAGTGACAGCCCACACCTCATATATTTTAGAGGCTAAAAAACAAAGAATCCAAGTTAAGTAATAATTCTAAAAATATACGGAGGCTTCTTTTATGGGCATGAGTTTCATTAACTTGCATAGCTTTCTGAAACAGTAAGGATTCTGAGCTACAATCACTCTTGTAACAAGAGGCAGACTCTGCAGAGCCTGTTTGCCTGACTCCTGCAGACCAGGACCAGTCCACAAGCCAGTTCACCTGCATTCTCAGCTGGGCTGGCTGCTCCTGTTGGGATGCTTGCCATTTCCCAGTCTGATATAGAGGAGAGGCTACCCGCAAGAAAAGAATCTTTCTAGATCTCTTGGCTGAGAGAGCGCATGTTCATTGGGTCTACAATCACATGCCATTCCCAAGTTGAGTATACTGGACCTCCTCTAACAAGAGTGAAAGCTGATTTCTCATTGCTAACTGGAAAGTCTGTCCTATTACCTGCAATGGGATTATGTAACATTGGGGATCAGACTGAACTACGCCCTCTAGCATTACACTGCTCACCAGGCTTTTATTCGTAGAAAGAAATGGGAGTAGGGAGTGATTAGAATTTGATCCTTAATCTACCCCTCTGTACCACAACAGGGTCATGCTCAACCCATTACCCTGATGCATCACACTCAAATCTGTGGACACAACCCAAAGAGAACAGTTGAATCCCTAAAGCATAGTATTTACACACCTAAGTTTGTCTTAAACAGTGAGTGTGTGATAATTAAATAAACATGTTTGAAATAATTTGAAGTCTTACTGAATTATGTGGTGTAACACAGGAGAAAGCAGAGTAAAAGACCAGGAGACGGCTGGGGTGGAAGTTACTTCTGGAAAGGCCCTTTTCAGTGTTCCCAAGACTGCAGGTAGCCCTACTGTGACTCCCTACAGCCCTGCCACTGCGGATGCAGCCCTCCAAGAGTGTCTGACACAGGGTGGCTCCCTCGAGACCAGGGTAAGCAGAATTTGGTTATGGATGCTGTTCTGGATACTTTACATCGGTTTTCTATGATAGGTATTTTCAGTGTTATAAAAAATAAACAAGTCCCACCAATTTCAGAAATACGTAGTGTGGGTAGGTGAAGAAGATTATGTTGGAGGTCAGGGAAATGGGAGCTGAGTTTTCAGGAAGGAAGGTACTACACAATTTAAAGTTTCATTCCACCCAAGGGGCCCCATTTGGCAAATACTTCATTTTAGGCAGCAGTGAGCCACTTTCACCTTCTGAAAAATGTTGAGAAGTTTCAGGCATGAATTATAGAGAAGAAGTGAGAATGTATACCAAAACAGCACGTGTTCCTCATTCATAATGCGTGCAGTGACTCATTGTGATTATACTAATTCATTGTGATTTCCATTGCCCCAAAAGTATCTTAGTTTTTCCTGAAATACAGATTTTTACTTTGTTTTCTGAGTCCACAGAGTAATAGTATTTATTATTTTAGATTTGATTCATTGTCAATATGTTGATGAAAAGGGTATGAAGGAAAAATATTTCTAGCAATATGCTAAAAATCAACAAAAGAATAAAAAATCTCCACTGAATGAATCAGGCACCTTAAAATAGGCCTAATTATAGAAGCTTAAATATTTTAATTATTGGTTTGATTCTAATGTCAAGGTAAATCTTCTATTTCAAAGTCATATTTATACGCAAGCAATCCAAATTGCATGCTATCAAGTCTTTATTAAAGTAGATAAGAGGCACTATTGAACTATGAGTATTTATTAATCTTGTAAATTTACTATAAATAATTAATCACAAATATCAAGAGATTCATTGCACTGAGTGCTTTCTCATTTTAGCTCTTTGTTCAACCCAAGGACTAGTAACTGAAATGAATGTAGTTTTCAAAAAAGCAATTTATTACATTAGATGAGGTTTTAATCAGACTTCTTGCTAAACTCCAGCTGTCATGAAAGACAGATGCTTTGTACACTAGAATGAACAAGGGCTTGGTGAATAATTATTAAAAGTTCTGGTTTAATTACAGTATCAGAAGAAAATAGTATTCTTCAGGGTTCTGTACAAAGAACGAAATTTTATCACCCACTGCTACTACATGAAATCTCTATACCCCACCTTGGTTTTTCCTCTCAATCTAATTTTTCTGAAAGCTTCAAGAATGATTTTGAACCAGGCAAGCTGATATCTCTCTAGACTATCCATCATTAATAATACTTTTCAAACCTATACATTCATGTTTCCACTGTTGGAAATTAATGATCATAGAATGAACTGCAAAATTTTGCATCTGGTCGTCCATACTAAAGCATTAATGTTTAGCTTTAGGTGAAATTTGGGCCTCAGTATGGATAAAAATATGTCCTGTAATAGAGAAGTGTATTGCTGAATTATTTTTGCACTTCTGAAAGAGCTGCAAACATTTCCCAAGCACAAAGAGCTAATTCTTCCTACCAAAAGAAACACTTTATCAGTATACCAGGCTTGAAAATGACTAAGATCCATCGAAAGCCATGAAGAAATCAAGTGCCAGAAGTGAAATCTCAAAGCACTAAAACATTCCCATGTGTCCTCCTAGGCCATTTGAATGTAATGAATAAATACTTGGTACAAAACAATTCATACTGTGATTATGATCAGATTCTACAGGAACGGTCAACCTCAAAGTCCCTTTATAGAACTCCAGTATTTTTCTATCTTCCATGCAAATCCAAAACACAGAATATATTAAAAATAATTTGCTTCTGTGATATTCTGAGATGATACGCCAAGAAGCATTCAGGAAGCAATTAATAATGCGAAGTGAACAATCAGAATTGATGAATTCAATCAAGTGTTGAAGAAGATGTAAACTTGGTTAATTTTCCCCACGGCAAATCAGCCAAAGATATCTTGTTTGGAAGGTACTGTACGCAAACATTACAATCACACTCCTGTTTTCCTCTCCTACTCATAACCCTGCTAAAAGTCATTTTGCAGTAATGGCTTTAAAATGATCATGTATGAAAACAGTGAGATTTGTTAGGTAAGACAAGTGACCTGTCCCAATCAGGGATTAAAATAAGGGGACATGTCTAATCACCAACATAAAAAGATCCATTCGCCAGGGTTAGGCAATTATCCCGTATTTCACACTTCACAAAGACAAAGCACTCCTGAGAGACCCAAGCTGTCTTTGCAGCTCTCAGCTACAGCGGTGCAGTGCGGAGCGGCTCAATGCTGAGACCAAATCCCCTGCATAGAATGCACTTGAAATAAACACAGTACTCACATACTGTTGAAGAGCTCCCGGTAAGTTTCATCACCTTTGCCTTCTGACATCAGGCTATCCAGCTTGTCAATCAGCTTGGCTTCCACCTGAAACATAACCCAAATATTACTCTCTCTTTCCTCTTCTCCACAAGTAGGATTTCTCAGCAGATTAAAACACACTGATTTATGCCAGGGAAAAAAGCTGCGGTAAATTTTACAAAAGCGACTTTATCAGCTTTGGTGAATAGCAGACATCCCTTTCCAGGGGGCTAATTTAGATGGAGTTATAGGACTTCAAATCCCAGTCTGGTGGCAGCTACTGCTGCCAAAGACATGTTTCTATTTCTTGATTCAAACACAAACGCTTGCAGCCCAGTTTAAAGCTAGATTCCTTTCTAAGGGCTACCCAAACTGCAAAATTTCCATTTTTCTTTTACGTCAGCAAATGAACATACATTAATTTAAATCCTTAATTTGTTTTGCATTTATTTTCTCTCTCAAAACAGTTCGAGGCTGCATTACATCTTTGTTGAAGTTGAGAACTGGTCCTATCCATGTACAGATGGTAGATCCACAGAAATATTCTCAGTCAGTCATGAGCAGCAGGAGAGACAAATGACGTATTTCCTAAAAACTGTAGGCAAAACATTTGTATTTTCAAGGACATGAATCCTTTGGAACTTGAATATTAGGAAGGGAGAAAATATCCCTTCACCTGTGAGTGTCTGAGGCTGGAAGGGGAAGAAAATGACAAATCTCTCCATGACCAGAGAAAATTAAAACCGTTAGGGATTAGGATGGGCTTTGACTTTGTCAAAGGACATAGCCCAATTACTCCTTTAAACCAAATTTCAATCAAGAGATAAAGAGGGAAGGAAAGCAGGTCCTCCTCCCACCCTGCTAGTACAATTTTTTAATAGCCTTTCATTCCACTATTGGATTTCTTGAAAATACATGCATCCACCAACAGAAGTGAAACACCCATGGGACGGTTCTCTATGCTTTTGGATTACCCATACAATTGACAACCATTTCTAAGACTTGAGGAGGGCTTCATTTGGGGAAGCATGAAGGAGGGGCAAATTCTGGAGTACACAGGTTGATGTAGCCTGGGTAGTAGGTCAACTGTCTCCAACTTGAGGGACATGGCATGGGAAGTGCAGCTGATTCCTTACGCAATCTGATTTTGTAATAAGAATGCCTATCTTCACAAAACTGGAGCAGAGCTATTAGAACCTCTGTCAATGAGAAATGATAGGTTTATCCCCTCGGAATTTCTTTCCCAGGAACTTCCACTGCTTTTTCCTTTAAATTAATTCTCAGTGCTTCAAGCGAAGAACAATAAAACACTGCGAACCAAATGCTCAAAGCTAAGCCATTCACCAAGTCCCAGTGTGCAGACCACTGAGAGCTCAATGATTTTAAGAATCATTAACCCTCTGATTCCTCTGTGTTGTGTCCAACTGGGATCAAATGAAGTCTCTGCAAGTTCTTAAATACAGACTTGGGAAATCAAAGAAAATTTAGCTGAAAGAAATTAAGTGTTTGTTTCAGGCTTCCCTGGGGGATCAGGGTACCACAGGATCTGCTATCTGGCCTGGCAGTACACAGGCCAGCCTGGAATTCAGGTTTGCCAGCTCAGCTGGTTCATTTCCCAACTCAGGGTTGGATCTGGAATTAAGTATGAAACTCTTCCAGGGCTCTGAGGAGCACACCCGCCTACCTGTTTAAAGCTGCCACTCCGCCTCTGCTCCCAGTCCATCATGTCATGAAAAATAGGAATCATGACGTTCCGGAGATCTGGCTGGGGTATCAAGGTCACTTCCAGGAAGGGGCCAATCAGGGCAGGGATAAAATGAAGCTTGTGCTCTCCTAAAGTGAACAAAATAATTGTGCTTCAGTGTACTGAGTCTTAATAAGACTGTAAGAAATTAATACCATAAAATTTGCTTATAACTCTTGCCACAAATTTCTAAGAATATTTCAAAAGGCTCATGGAAAATAGAATTAAAGATAAGTTTATCTTGGTGTAAAACAATGTTGCACTCCATGCAGTTTTTTTCAAAATACATATTTTTCCATGAACTTTTTAAGACCTTTCCTTTTCAATTATGGTTGTCTCTGTATTCAGAAACAAGAAAATCCATAAGGTACAAATAAAAATTCTAAAAATGAGCAGGAATTAATCATGCAAATCATTATATATTAACACAATAACGGTTTTATGCAGTCATTGGAAGTGACGCCAGAGAAGGCTAACAAGGTTGAAGTTTTCTAATATAATCAAGTGAAAAAGCAAGGTACAATGCAGTCTGTACAAGAACATCTTTTACGTTAAAAAATGCATACAACATTCAGAAAATTATTATCGTTCAACATTAACCACAGTGGTTATTTCTGGTGATATTACAGGTGATTTTTTTAATATATGAGAAAAGATGTTTCTGATTTATATCAAAAAATTTTTCTAGTGTTTTGGTTTTAACATAATAAACACACAGCCTAAATAAAAATCTAAATGGTGATCTCCAAAAAGAAAATAAGCACTTTCGGAAAAGACTAAGATATAACAACAGCGAACTCCAATGGCATGCTGCCAAGGACCAAGGGGTACCGTGCTGCTCATTTAGAGGAAAGGAAAGGATGGTCTGGATGAAGAGGATTTCATGGGGCAGGTGCGTGTTAAGTCCATTGCTCTAATCCTCCATGTTCAGTATCACAGGAGCCTCTAGTGTTACAATGAGAATTCTACATGCCATAAAAAAGAGTCAGCCTTCAACATCATGGCTGAAAGTTGACAATCCCAAGGCAACAGGACAAACTGGAAGCAGAAGACAGACAGCTTCATGAAACAGGTTCATTTCCTCCATATTATTCTTTTCTACATTTGATCTTTTGTAGTGAGGGCTGAATACAAAGTCATATCGCCCATAGTTACTTGTACTTGCCAATTTCAGAGTTCAATGCCTTTAAATCAGCAACAGTGTTTTCTATTTTGATTTTTTTCATGAAAGAAGGAATTAAGGTAGCCCCAGAACTCAGACAAATATACAAGTGGCAATATGTACATACAGGGTGCAAATGTATAGTTTAAACTTCTTCTGACCTTAGAAGGGTTTGAAAAGGGAATAGAATATAAAACAGAGAACTGGGGACTAAGAGAATGATGACTAAGATGGACATGAGAAAAACTGTGTGTGTATGTGTGTGTGTGTGTGTGTGTGTGTGTGTAAGGGCCTTGGGAAACATTAACTGCCTTCAGAAAGGGCCTCATTGGCTAAGTGAGTGCCTTATTCTCAGTGCTATGGAACACTATCAGGAGCATGGCCAACTCAGGAACAAATTTTGCAAATCTTTGCATGGAAGGTAACACTGGCAATAGTTTGGGGCTTGGAGAAAGCGGGCAGAAAATAACTTCTGGACAATCAATGAAACTGCTTAAGCATTTTAAAGTCAAATTCATAAATTTCCCTCCTTTAGGCTAAAAAATTCAGCTTCAAGGAAACATTATCTAATTCATTATACCCCATAGCATTTGTTCTTTATTATATCCTCAGAGGATGAGGGTTTCTATTACAATAAAACTCTGCCTATCTCAGGAACACACAAATAACGCTACTATACAGAGCTGAATCTTACAGACCATACTGCCCCAGCCTCAGGAGTAGGACGATAACAGGACAATAACCTGGCCGTTATCAACAAACAGCTTTGTCCCAGGCCCCACAGTGGGCATATCACGTAGCAGGGCCATCTACGGCCCTGAAGGGAAGAGCTTTTCTAAAAGGGCCCTTATGAAACAGGAAATAGGCTTGAAGCTGGCAGATGCCATTTTCCCACTGACTGGGAATAAAGTCAGTACATAGAGTGAAGGACAGTTAAGACACAGTGAGCTCTGAGCTAGCTTTTTCAAACAGTCACGCTCAAATCCAGATCTGTTTACAACCTCCCCACTACACGAGGCCATGTGCAAGAGTGCTTCAAAAAGGTCATAGAAAATGGAATTTTAAAAAATCAGCAAAGAATGCCTAAATCCACGTGCAGCTTTTTCATAATATGCATTTTCCATAAACATTTTGAAGATTCCTCATGGGTATGGATTTCAGATTTTTTTTTACATCAAAGTAAACTTATCTTTTAATTCCATATCCCACGAGCTTTTTTTTAAAGTACCCTTGTGCTACTTTAACATGAGTTTAGCTTGGTGTTTTGGGCTTTGGTTTTTCCAAATGCAACCAACAGAGGTCTGATACACCAGTTGGCATGTGAGCACCAGTCACCTCTGTCAAAGATTTCGCCTACCTCCAGGAGACCAATATGACAATAATGAGAATGTGAGACTGCGTTAAGACATCCAAGAGGCTGAATTCTGTCTCAGTTTACACTTATCTGGAAAAAGTGCCTTCAACAGAGGCCACTGATCTGAATGTCTTTCTGTCTTGATATCAAGAGGGCTTTGAATCAACTTTGGGCTGCAGTCTGTGACAGTGTCCCAGGGCTGTCCCAGACATCTGTCTCAATCAGGGACTGGATGTCCTTGCCCTTGCCCTGCATCTTGGGTGCCCTACAGACTGAGGTCCTCATGCTCTCTCCTGGCAGATGCACTCCTGTAGCCGGGTCAGATCCCAAGCCCTGCAATATCTGTGATGGTCCCCAGAGACCTCACACCATCAGGGAGATGCCCTCTGCAGCCGTTGGGGACCAGGTTGATTTTTCCTTGGGTTGGTGTCTGTGTGAGCCAAAGTGTTCATCAGCCACGTGCTTTGAGCATTCTCACAGAATACAGCCCTGGATGCAACCCATGAGCCCTGCCCACCTCAAAGTCCTTTTGCTTTCCATCACTGAAACCAACAGTCCCCTCCTCTCTGAGGAATTATCAAAGGCATTTTAATTGCTTTTCACAGCCTTTAAATAACTTATCCATAACTCATTACATGTGAGGAAGAAAGTTGGTTTGCAATTCCTTTTGTGTTCCTACCTCTGCTTATTTTATTAAAAAGCTTTATTGGCTTATTTTACTTTATTTGAAAGGCAGAGAGAGAGAGACAGTTAAACACACATACACTCACACACACAGAGAGAGAGAAAGAGAGAGAGAGAGAGAGAGAGAGAGAGACAGAGACAGAGACAGAAAGACTGGGCCAGGCTGAAGCTCGGGCTCAGAACTCAATCTGAATCTCCCAGGTGGGTAGCAGGGACTCAAGCACTTGAGCCAACACCTCTGCCTCCCAGGGGCACATTAACAGGAAGCTGGAATTAGAAGTCCAGCCAGGGCTTGAACCTAGGCACTCTGATAACAAATGCCTCCCACCTTTATTTATGGTAATCCTTTGTTTTTCCCAAAGGATTGCTTACTTTTCCTCACCAGAGCACGGATATAGCAAAAGAAATCTGCTTATTGGTCTTTATATATTTTACTTTCAAGACCAACACCTCACTGAAGTATCAATTATTTCCCCATCTTCCCAACACACATAATATCTGGAGCAGGTAACTAGCAGGTAGCATTTGCAATTCCTTCCCTTGGCTATTTTTGTCAAGCAGAAAGCAGAAGTAACACGAACTCAGTCACTCTTACTGTCACTTTACAAAGCCTAAAACACTGAAAAGCATATTCAAGTGAGGGGGAAAAAGAGAGAGGGGGGGAAGATATGCCCGGGAGGGCAAAGGCTGGAAGTTCTGACATTAGCAGGTCTTCCACCTGCTCTATGATCCTGGCCCAGGAGATGGTTGCAGGGGCTCAAGGTCTGGCCACAGATCATTGGACCAAAAGGACCATGCATGCCAGGACAAAGGCCATCTTGGGATTTGATCAGCAACCAGGAAGGCCTCTCTTCCATGAGACCTTACAAAGCTTTTGGGTGTGTGTGGGGGGTCGGGGGGAGGAGGATGGGAGAGAGAGGGAATACAAAGTAAAACTTAGTTTCTTGGGCTGGCGCTCTGGTGCAGAGGGTTAAAGCCCTGGCCTGAAGCGCTGGCATACCATATGGGCGCTGGTTCGAGACCCAGCTTCACTTCCGATCTAGCTCTCTGCTATGGCCTGGGAAAGCAGTAAAAGATAGCCCAAGTCCTTGGGCCCCTGTACCCACGTGGGAGACCCAGAAGGAATTCCTGGCTCCTAGCTTCAGATCGGTGCAGCTCTGGCTGTTGCGGCCAACTAGGGAGTGAACCAGCAGGTGGAAGACCTCTCTCTCTCTCTGCCTCTCCTTTCTTTCTGTAACTCTGACTTTCAAATAAATAAATAAATAAATCTTAAAAAAAAAAAAAAACAACTTAGTTTCCCAACAGCCGGGACAATTTTCCCATACCTGATCCGGCAGAACGCTATTCAGAGTGGATACATTGCTATTATACTCTTTAAATCTGGCATCCTTTGGTCTCTCTCATGGGGACTGCCATCAGCATACACATATTTTATTTGCCACCATTAGCTTGAGTACTTTTGAATCTCTTTTTAAAAAACTTTTCCATTTAGATATTTTATCACCAAATGTTCTTGACAATTTATTTTACTATGAAACATACAGCTGTAGAGAACAGCAAGACAAATCCTCCCATACCCTCACCTAACTTCTATAATTATCAAGATTTTTCTGATACTGTTTCACCTATACAGAATATTTTAAAAGCAAATCTGAGACATTATATAATTCTCCTTGTACACATCATCTTTAACAGAGAAGACATTTTATAAATATAGATTTGCAATGGTTTTATTACACCTAAAAATTCCTAATATTAATAACAAATCTGGCATATTATTAAAAATCCTCTTGATGGTCTTAAAATATGCGTGTATACTTAGTTTCTTTCATGGTCTATACACTACATTTTGTGGCCTAATTTTTCTAACACCAGTAGGAAAGTGATAG